ACTCCAGGAAGATCAACCAACTGTTTCGTCATCACGCACTTCTCTTCTCATTGAAAATAGACCAAAGCGTAATAGAAGATCACCTGATCGTTTGCGCTACTGACGAGTTATTGAGCTTATTTTTGCTGTATGATTTATGATCTATGTATGATAATTAATATGTAACCTAATTAAGGCGAAGAGAGTGTGATATTCCAAGTATTTATTATGTTTATAATAAATATACATTTATTCACCACCACCTTCTCTGCTCCTGCTAGGAAATTATTTTCAAACTCATTTGCGTGCGCAAAGTTGAACTTTGCGCACGGAAACTCTTTGCGCACTCATTTTTGTTATGCATAATTACCATAGTTATACTTGATTTTTCAATGTTTTGATGGTTTCTGAATAAACTAATATTCAAAATGAAGGGTTTTAGTTGAAATTAGCGCGCTTAGTTAACATGATGTTCCCTATCAAAGGTGTCCAAATTAGACCAGTCTGTACTGCTGGGAATTTGTAGAATTTTTGATATTTGAGAGACTCTCATGAAAATATTCTAGCTGGTATTCTAGAAATTACAGATGTTTAAAGATTTTTGGGGATTTAATTTAAAAGACATTCTGAGGAATTCCAATAGATTTTAGACGATTTTTGAAGATTTTGATTTGATATATTTTTCTAATATTTCAACAATTCAAAGTCTACTTCTTTAAGATACTCGTAGAAAAAATATTGTTCCTAACACTTGCGCAAAGTGTCTTTCCCGCACTGCTTTTTCGTGCGGGAAAGTATCACTTTGCGCACTTGTTAGGAAAATAACTATATGCATTTTTATGCAAATCAGTATAGATTTGGACTTGTACCATTGTGTTTAATAAACCAGTTAAAATATATATTTTTGGCTATTATTTCAAGTAAGGAACATTACAGTACCCTTAATTTTTTTTTCGAAATTTATAAATTTCAAAATATTCTCGGGAACCTCTTCTCCGTATTTATTTTTCTGCAAATCTGTTGTCGGTAATTTAACTGAAACGTGACCTCAATCGTGTTCTTGGTGAGCTTTCAATTTTTGCTCAGTGGAAAAATACACCAAACAACCATCACAAAGATGCTTTACCCTATGGTCTGTTGATAATTGACTTGAGATCAAGCGAGACATGTTTCTTATTAAACAATAGTGACTATCACAAGAATCATTACTGATTAATACCAAATTCACATGTTCCGCTTTTCGAGACCGAGTAAAGTATAAGGGACCAACAACTTCAATAATATTTCTACCATTATCGTAAGCGTAATCTAATCCATATACATTAATTGAAATATTATTGAGTTGTTTAAACTTACCAATGTCTTTAAGTTTGATCGGAAATTCCATGCCTGTAAAGTCCAACTCATTCTCAAAAGGCAAATAGTTCGCGACTCTATTTGCATGCCGAGTCCAATGAATTGGATGTGGCTGAGCCAAGACTGACCACATGAAGCACTTCTGGTCCTGATTTTGAATGTTCAGGACAGCTTTCTTCGCATATATCTCTTTAGGTAGAGGTAGATATGAGGAGGCTTTTAGAGGGTTGATCCTATTAATACTTATATCTAGATGGAGGAGCTGTTGCAGCGTCCAGCCTGTAAGAGACATTGTTTAGTATATAACACTGCAATTGAAATAATACATACCACTTTCTTTCTCCTGGAATTCGGTGGACTTTTTGTCCAGGATGGCTGAAAACTGCTGGAACAGCTCCTCCAGATCTGCCCCCTCGGTCACCAGGCTGAATTTGGCGTTGAACGACTTGACCTCTTCTTGCTCTTTCGCCTACAGGAGGAGCGTCCGAAAAGCTCCACACCGACTTTGATATGGCCAAATTTATTGACCATATCCCCTACCAGCTTGACGAATTTCACTTTGAAATTTCCCAAAAAATGCTTTACGCTGGTAGGGTTCTGCTTTGCTGAAAGCCGGTATGTAGTAATTCGGTTCTTGAAAGATGTTTTGACAAGACTTACGTCTTCCTCCTGCTCCACACAGGTGTTGGCTCGGTGCTGGAGACTCCGAAGATGACCAGCCCATTGATTTATCGGAGTCTCCAAGTCGCAATCCTCGCACCACCGGCCTGTAACTGCTGTTGATGGTCCTGAAAACAATTAAATAAGATTTTAAAAGAAAAAAAAAATATTCAATTTTAACTTACCGGCAACTTGGTCAAGTCTAGCTTGCTTCGTCATGGGGGTGGCGGGATCTCCAGCCTTTCGTTTGTGGGCTCTCGGGGCTGGGTGTTTTTCTTGAAGGTGGCGTTGGAGAGCCCCCTCCGATTTGAAAATCCCACCACATTGGTGGCAGATCCTGGCAGATGTTCGGCAATCCCCATGACGTTTCAGGTTATCCCTCCTGGTGAACGATTTGGTACAGAAATCGCAGCTAAACATTTCCTTAAAAATCCGTTGTTCATGGAGGTTTCTTTTGAAATGAATGAAAAAATAAAACCAGTTTAAATTAGTTAAAGTACCTACGTAAATTTTAGAAAAAGATAGTTGAATCATGTGTAAATGTAAGTGAAAAAGGAAACTCAAGTTGTTTAAAAAAAAAAAAACTATTGGAATTAAATTTAAAACCATACATTACTTAGGGTTTTATGTAATAGTAAAAAAAACACAAAAAATTTGTTTGTGTGTTGATGAAAATCAAAATAAATTTTAAAAAATCGAGGTTTGTGTTAATTAAAAATTGAAAAATATTTAAAGTTTATTGAAATATGTCTCGAGGCAAAATTTATCCTACATAAGATAATTTTTTCAAACACAAGACAATCAGAAAATTACTTTGATATTTGAAAATAGTACTTACTCTTTTTCGAAATCGACACAATCACTCACAATAAACTAAAATTAGTATTGAATGCTGTTGTTGCTGCTGCTATGCTGCTGCCTCTCCAACTGGCTGCGGTCGAATGGAAGCGCAAACTTGTTTGTTCTAGTTATATTGACACCAAGGAGAATAAACTTTGAATCATCATATTTAAAAAAAAAAAAACACAGAACAGCACTTTACCATACTAGAAATATTGATATTAAAAGTAATCAGCAACAAAAATATACAACACAACTTTTATAGGTTCATATGCTTGATTTTGTTGCTAATACCTAGCAGGAAAGTGACGTTCTCTGTTCTAAGCAACCCAAATAAACATAAATACCTTCCTAATGAAGTCGTGATGGACTCTTCTCAGTACATATAAGCAATTATTATTATCAATTTATTCCATGAAAATTTCAGCACAGTATTTATTGTTTAGTCTACGAGTTTAATCTGCGAAAGTTTGCTAATTGGATATTGCATTTTCCGTGAAACCGGCGTTGTTTGCGTCTTACGACCTTGGTATGATAAATATTTTGCGACGCGTTTTGTCCGATTGTGGTACTGGGAACCATGTGAAGGTCATTGTAAGATAAATCGGTTTTTATAATAACAAATTAACTAAGCTTCTTTCAGTCTCGCTCAAACTCGTCAACAGTGAACATAAAAAAAATTATTGCACAACAATTATCATCATTTTTACCAAGTAAGTAAATATGTTATATACATATATACGATCAATACAATTATGAAATATTTTAGACATGGATTTGAAATGAATCAACAAGACCTCTCTTTTCATAAAGGATCAAAAAACATTGAGAAAATTACAAGAATTGGAGCCTGGTAGAAAATACCCAATATTTTCTCCCAAAAAAATCCAAAGTAAATTTGGACCGTGCATACTCGTTGAACTTGACGATTCCGCAGTGTTTCTCCCGAAACGTACCACCAAATCATTGGAAGATCATGTAAAGCAGTTTATGGATGGAAAATATTCAATAATATACAGGGGGCTGAAGGATGTAGGACAACCAAACCATATATAGCTGTTTGAAATCATTGAATCTTGAAAAATGTATGTAATTATGTTTTATCAAAAACAAAATAAAGAACTGTCTTGAGGATAGGTTAGTGTTTTTTTTTCTACCAATTCGGATAGATGGCGCACCAGACAGATGATAGGTAAAAGATGGTAGTAGAAATGGGGCCCTCTGAAATGGGGCACTAGCAACGGGGGCATGAGCTCACGTGATGATTCACCACTACAGCATCCTGTAATACGAACTTCACACTATGTACGCTAGATGGCGCCAAATACGAACTTCCCACTATTTACGCTAGGTGGCGCCACCGGTCACGTGATGACGTAGCGACGCCAGGCGTCGGAGGCGTCGGAGGGCGTAGAACGCAGATGTTATATCTACTATTGTTCCAACTTAAACTATGCACATTTTTCGTGGTCCAATCAACTTGATTCTGGGAACCATTTTCTAATAAGTTGAGGCGCATAGGGCGATCAAACATTCGATGATGCACATCTTTATTCTCGATATTGATAATAGCAATTTCTTTACAGATGAAAGGGACGATTTCATATTGAAATCCTTGCACATCAATAATAAACAAGAAACTACATTGCTTCTTGCGTTAAGGTGTACATTCAAATTATCAATTTAAGGAAAAATCATTCAATTCTCTTTAACTCTGTTCAAGTCCAATCTCCGATTAAGTCAGGTCTAAAGCATCTGTTATCGTTGTCGTTATGGTTAGAAGCTTATTTGAAAAATGAATCAACAATTGAAGAGCTTGGTGCAATAATCGGTCACGTGCATGGAACCTAGTTTTGAGATAATTGAGAAAAACGTACCATTCGTCTAATTTCCAAGACATATTTTTTTGGTATGTTTCGTTTAATTGCTAACTAAAAACTTAACAAGACACTATATTTTTCCACTTTATATTGCTAATGACAAAGTTTTTATTTCACATCTTAAGATGCACGTGGCCGGTTGTTGCCACCAATAAAGCAAAAAAAAACACAAATTGAATTACAAAATATGTAATTTTAATGATTAGATCAAATAACTACGGTCTTCAACATAGCTTTATACAAGTAAGTGTAGAGAAAAGTAAACTAGATACATTTAAGATAAAATCAATCGGAATCTTCGGCATTATTCTCATCTGCTGCCCGTTTTATTGTATTATAATATTCCAAATAAATAGGTGGAACATATTTTTTGACAATAGGCATTATGCTGTCATACTTTTTGGTTTTTAAGGCTAACTTCTCATGGTATGTTAAAGGAGCCACATGTAAATCGATTTTGGTACCTGGAGATTTATACAAAGGATATCCGACGACAAGAGCAATATTGTGAGTTTCTGTAACAAGCACTTGATCAGGTTGAACAGAATCATAGATGAAGATCCTATACTTTGAAATGGTGAATGGTTTTTTCTTTATTACGGAAGTCTTCTTAAAATATGGTTCAAGATAACTTTTAAAATCAAATATAATGTCTTGTTCCACCCGCTCGACAACAAACTTTTTGCCACAGCTCTGAACCAAATCATACCATTCATCTGGCAAATAAAGAAGCTCTTTCTTGCGTTTTTTCTTTTCAATTTGACCAAAGTTTCGATCGCAGGGTAAAAAGCTGTATCCTGGCTCTGGTAAGTGATGAACTATTTTTCTGAATCTTCCATTACTGACTAAGGCTAGCAAAAAATGCACCATGCATTTTTGTTTTGCCCCGCACAGTTGTCAGTAAAGATGTACAAAGTTGTGACAGTTTTGCTGACATATTTCTCTATGAAATGCATTAAAAAAGAAATCGATTCGATGCAACCCTTTTTTGCAGTCATTTCGTCAAACATGTAGCTTACTGATTGGTTGTTTGAGCAGGAATGGAACATCTGGTTGTAAACCCATATTTGCCTTGCATAGAATATGTCACCAGTCGTCAAAACAGGAAGTGGTAGGTTCTGCTGATAATCAAAACAGATCGTTTCGACAGAGGGATCGGTTACTGCTAGTTCTGATTTTTCTTTTAAGTCATCATAGAATGCTTGGGCTTTGGGAAGATGCACTTCCTTCTGGACTGTTAATTCCCTTCTTTCTTCCTCTGTCGAGGCAGCTTCAATACGAATTTTCATTACGTCGCAAGAAGAGCAGGTGTCACTTCTGGGATATCCGAAGGATAAGTTATAGTTTTGCGTAAAATAACGATAGTAAAAATCATATGTAACCTTGGGCTTGATTTTTTGATGGTTTTTTAACAGAGAATATTGGTCAAAATCATACTTTTCTAAGTAAAGCTCATACATTTTTTTTACATTTAACTCAGCGGGCAGAAATTTTTTCTTATTTTTATTTCTGGAATAGTGGGACTCGCGTGCTGGGAAACTTTCAATGTGATTTTTTACTGTAGCAACCACTTCGTCAGGAACTTTGTTCGGTCTATTCTGATGTTTTCCACGCTTATCTTTCTCAAGCAAGGATCCAGAGGCCCTAGAATGACAAATCCTCAAAACACGTGACTTATGTATTCCATGCAGGCTACAAAAGGCTCTACGGCAAACCTTCACACTTTTAGGGCCTACTTTGACGTGGTAGTAATAGGAATAGATTTTTTTTTCAACCTCAGTGGTTTTTCTTCTCCTTACTACCTTTTTCACATCTATAAGTGCACCCAAGTATGAGTCCTGAATATTTTTATCTTGCATGGAGTAAAAGTTTCCAAATATTGTGTTTTTCTCAACTTCTGTTAAAATATCAAAACATTTCCCACGGCACTGACATCTAGGACCCAACCTCTTTTCCGAGACAACTATACCCTTTTTATTAATATACTGTTTGCCTGAATTTCTTTTTAGTTTATTTATATTTTTCTTCCATTTTTCAGGCCTTCTTTTTCTTTTCTTAGTTTTAGTTTCCATTCCGGCGTCGTTGTTTTCTAAAATAAAAATAACACTTTCAGATTAACAAATTGCTTAAAAAAATCGCATAGTTACCGGCTTCGTTTTCAATAATCTCGTCGTTGGCAGTAATATGAGAAGTATCAGTTCTGGATGTAGTAACATGTGGTCTGGATGGCCCTGTAAATAACAATAAATCATCTTTTAGAATATCCAATTATTTATTTTTTTAAAGCATACCTGCTTGGTCTTCATCAAATTCATCTTCGGAAGTATCAGTTGTTGAACTAGGAGCTTGTGCTGTGAATCCTGTAAATTTTACCAAAATAGTAGCTTTACAAACAGAACAAAAAAAAAAAACTTCCTACCTTGATTATTTTCGTTATCACTTGAATCTACATAGTCAGGGTCCTTGTCACTATCATCTGAGTTATGGAAAGGGTCAGTATCACTTGTATCACTTAAATAATCACTCATTTTTAAGTAAGATCGTGTGCCTTGTGTGAACCTGTACTGAGCGCTTTGAGGTTAGAATAACAGCAAATATATAGGTCAAGGACTTTTGGTGCAACAAACGGTCATGTGCAACACGTGGACGCTTTTTGACACAAACTATTACATGCGCCTACCCGGTCCATCAACACGTTTGGTGCAATAAAAGGGCTATGTGTAAGTAAATGCTATTTTGATGCTAATACATGGACGGTTTTTGCTCCAGACGATGGAGAGTATATTTTTAATGCAAAATCTGACGAAATCTCGATTTTGACAAATTTGGTCTTTGACCGCTTTTTGCCCCAAACTCTTCAATTGTACTTACATTAGTTAAATTGTTGAGTGATTCTTGTTCTCGTCTTTGTTCTGGTATTTCTATTCTAGTTGATTCTTGTTGTTATTGATGTATTCCTGTGTATTTACCATTTTCTTCTTCGTTTATCAAAGAATAGCTTCTCAGTCGTTTTCTTGAGGTTGAAATTATTCTATATGGAATAGGATTTATTTCTTCTCCAGCTTCAACAGGAGTGTTGGGAGGTACAGTACCGATATCATCAGTAGAATCAGAACTAATACCAATGTCTGACTTTTTACGTACAATTATTTCCTTAGTTTCAAATCAGGAAAAAAAAACTTTTCGACCATAATAGTTCATTTCTAAAAGATGTGGACGTGAAATTTTCTGTTTTTTTGAAGCATTCGTGATAGGTAATGCGATAACAACGTAATGAATTAACTCGAACCGTTAAGGCGTATCTTATACTTATGAAGCTTAAGCATCATGTTCACATAAACATCACAACTAAGTAAAACCATTGATAGAAAAACTAACTCGTGGCTTAAAATAAATAAACAATAAAATTTTCAAAAAGCTATGGTAATGTTTCAAAAGATCTAAGCCAGCTTCAATACGAAAATTTGTTTTAATGCATATTGCTTTATTTTTAATACCTGAATTGAAAATTAATATAATTTTTCTTAAAACCTGCAACTTTTTTTTATATTCATCTTCAGTTTAAATAATTCTGCACGACTTTTCAAATCTTTTTGAAACATCACCTAGTATATTATCAAGCGTAGAATAAGAAGATATTATGAAAGCTTAAAAGAACAAAAAAATACGCAATCTGAATTAATTAGTTTCCCACAATTCAAATGCAGACCAAAGCTTATGAGACAAATATAATTCACAATGTTGCGGATAGGCAGTGTTTTAAATACCAAGAACAGTAATAATGTCCTAGATCATGCATATGCACTGTAAACACATTAATTGGTTTATTATGCTCAATAATTGTATTCATAACCCCATTATCTGCTAAGGTTAATTCATAATATTTGGAACATCATATTATATCAAATTTAAATCCTTCTTGAAAGACTCTATGACACCAAAATACATAAAACTTATTACAACTAGAAAAATTGGTTTTTCGAATAAATTAGAATGGATTTAAAATTTTTTGGAATGGATTTTCTGATAAACAAGAAACTGCATTGCTCCCTCCGCATTGGGATGATCAATTTTAGGAAGAAACGATTCATTTCTCTTCAACTCTATGTAAGTCTAAAACATCTGTTATCGTTATCGTTATGGTTGGAAACTTGATTGGAAAATAGATCAACAATTGTACTTACATTAGTTAAATTGTTGAGTGATTGTTGTTCTTGTCTTTGTCCTGATATTTCTATTCGAGTTGATTCTTGTTATTGTTGTTGTTGTTGATGTATTCCTGTGTATTCACTATTTTCTTCCTATTCTTGTGCTTCTCTTTCTACTTCTTCTTCTTCGTTTATCAGATAATAGAATCAGAAATATTACCAATGTCTGACTTTATACGTAAAATTATTTCTTTAGTTTCAATATCGTTATTTAATTTTAAATTAGGAGAAAAAACTTTTTGACCGCTATAGTTAATTTCTAAAAGTTGTCGACGTGAATTTTTTTGTGTTTTTGAAGCATTCATGTTAGGTGTTTGGAAATCACGTATTTCAAATTCCTATTAAAATTAAAATTATTCTCTCAAAATAGAGAAATTTATAAAATTCTCCAAACTGCGTAGTATCCTAAAGGTACAAGTTAAAACCTGTTAAAATCACACTATTGGCATGATGATGCAACCTTTATCTTCAGATAAGCAGAGAAAGGCAGACGCCAGTAAGGGCGGGCAGTACCATTTCAGTGATCGAGAACGGTTGTTGCCGTTTGCAGAACTCTAAATGCACAGTCTCGTGTTTCTTGCACAAAATCAGTAATTAATTTATCATGGTACGAAATTGCTAGTTAATTGAGTGTTAATTCCTCGGTTAAGCCTCTGGAGAATTATTCCAGGCTTTTATTTTCTCTCTGATTTCTATATTAGATATATATTTTCTACAAAGTCTTCAATCAAGTGTCTGCTTTAGCGACAAGTTTGTTCTGGTCTACAAGACAAGTAGAGTGGTTTTCTTTGCAATCACGGATTTTGTTGACATTTGTGCCTTTTGTGAATTGCAAAGTTTGTTCAAAATTTATTAATATTAAAGTTATTATTATTAGTGATTAAGTGTAAGTGTTTTTTTTTTCTATTCCTTTCTTGGCTATAGGCCAAGTGGTCCTTCGAAGAATTGTCCTTACAAGAAATTAGCCCTATGGATAAATCCTGACTGTTCAGGTGTGGCATTCAACAGTTTTGTTGCCATTGGCTATAATGGATGAAGAGGAAAAATAAAAACTATCCTGTTTATACAATAGGTAATGTGATAAAAACGGAATGAATCAAGTCGAAGCTTTCAGGCGTAGTGGTGTATTTTATACTAATCAAGCTCAAGCATATCTCCCTTTTTTCAAAAGTCACCTTCTACTACAGATATGTTGATGACAGTCTTTTGTGCTTCCAAGGGTCCTTAATTCCTTTTTTACATACCTAAATACCTTACACCCGTCCATTGAATTTAAAATGGAAATTGAATCAGATAACAAAATAAACTTTTTGGACCTTACAATTTTTAAAAATGAAAATTCATTAGAGTTCTCTATTTGCCACAAAGAATCAAGTACAGATAATGTTATCACTCTTATCACCCTCGAAACCAAAAATTAAGTGCTTTCCACTCTTTCTTCCATAGACAGTTTTCCATACCGTTTAATCAAGATAACTTCAGGAAAGAATACCTACATATTAAACAAATAGCGGTTAATAATAATTGCCGGCTATACATATTTAACAGAACATTTTATAAACATTTCAGAAAATACATAAATAAAAAATTACTCCCACCTTCAAAAGATAAAATAGAAAATATTTACTGTAACCTACCTTTTTATGGCAACATAACTCACAAAATTGAAAACATTCTCCAGAATTTTCAGAAAAGTCAAGAAAACCTGACAGTATCCTTTAAAACTCAACGCAATTCAAGAACGACACTTTCTATGGTAAAGATAAAATATCTAATAATCTTGAGAAATCAGGTATCTATCACCAAATGGATTGTAGGCCGCTTTGTGTAGGAAGGAGTGGCCGCAAACTGGGTATTAGAATAAGGGAACACCAAGCATTATATCCTATTATAGGACAAAAGAAATTACACACAAAACGTGACAAATATAGCAGTTATTATTATTGAGGATTAACATTATCATCCCATCTAAATTGTTTTAACAAAACACCTATATTTATGGTACAGTATTAAATCTGTTAATTTTTATATATTTATTATTTAGGGTGAGTTATAAAGCGCGCGGTGGTCCATATCTCCTATACTAAAGAAATCGAAGAAAAAACTGAATACAAAACTTGTAAATAAACATGAGTACTACATTCCTAAATTATTTTCCAACATACAGGTTAGCCCAATAAGTAGCGGTGACACATTGTTATGTTTTTTAGAATGACTCCTCCTGTATATTTTCACATTTTCGAATTTATACTTTAATTTCAAGTAATTTCTCTTAATGACTTCCTATCCCTATCTCCCGCCGTTATCAAAGGAAAAAAATTAATTTCCGAAATATAATAGGCAAAAACATTACTTGGAAAAGTATGCGATTTCTCACTTGTTTAGCTTTAGTTATCTACGACTAAGAATACGTTGAAATTACTATATAGGAAAAATTGACGAAAGGGTCTTCCCATGGTGGCAGTCAACGTGTTAAGTGTCTGTAATTGGACCCTGGCTGTAAATAAATTATAACACTCAACAGAATTTGCTTTGGTTCCCTTATGAGGCGATAGAAAAATTAGATTCTACTTCAAGATCAACCAATAAAAACTTGGTTGCAATTTTCAATTTAAAGCGAGCTATGATTTCTGTAGGCAAGCGAAAATGTTCGGATAGCTTTGTATATAAGGGCAATATTCTATTGGGGGGTAACCAAATGCTTCACTTCAAAATTTACTTTGAGGATTTATGTATCCCCATTTCTGCAATGGGGATTTTTTTTAACAATCCTTCAAATTGCATACCTAATTTGCAGCTTCTAATGACCTCTGAAACAAGACCTGGCGACTTCAGCGGCTCCATATAATCTGGTAGCCGTGATAGTTATTGAAAAGGGAGCGATCCGCGTTGAATTGATGACGTCGTTGAGCCAGAGAAGCCAGGCGAAATAACAAGAGGTCGATCGGTTACCATAATAAAACAAAAACCTATTATAATATATTATAAACAGAGGTAATATTTATTTATTAGACCACGAGTGTTTTTGTGCTAAGCTCAAAGTTTCAACGCAATTGAGCGAAGCCCGATCGAATACCATGCAACATTTCATCTTCAAGCTATCACTGTTTTTTTTAATCCATTTCCGGAAAAATAAAAGGCCGCCATTATAATTTACGACGTAGGTATGTCAAGTCTTTTTACTTTGAATGTGAAATTTCACTGCTTCAAACATGGATGACACGAATGAATATATCAACGTGATTATCTGTTTTTATTTATGCCATAATTTAATCCATATCTAATATTGATTCAAAAGAGTAATGCGAATTAACTTGTGC